ATTCATGAACATTGTAATTGGACATGTGTTAAATCAGTTTCATTATAGGTCCATTCTTCTATCTCAAGATATTTCATATACGATGCTCATGTTTATAACAACTATTTGCATTAATTCCTCATTGGTCGAAGCGGGACCCACAAAACATGTAACATGTTACTTTGTCTACTAACTAATGCTCAAATTTGGCTTATTAGGTGGCAGCCACGACGAATAGAACTGCAACAACACAAGTTCCAAACTACCCAAATCTTCCTTCACAATTGTTATGCCAAGTTCAAAACACAACCCTACATGTATGATGTGTTTCATCTAAATTTATATAAAAAAAAAAATGTTTGTTTGCTTTTTTTGTCCATTTTCTTGGCTCTTAGTTTTCTTTTTTATTTGAATAGACAGACAAAGATACCGATGAGATCTATGCACAAATCAGCCTTCAACCTTTGAACTCGGTAAGTTTTTTGTAATTCGGGATAAATGTAATAAATAGCAATGTAGTTTTACTTATTTGTGTAGTATTGCATCCTACATTCGTTTCTTTTTATTACACTATTGTACTTTCAGTGTCTTTCTTATTAAGGCATTGTACTTTGAAAAATCTACCTAATCATAGCATTGTACTTCCATTTATTTCATTATTTGTGTATTATAGCTTCCTACATGCATGTCTTATTTTACATCATTTTACTTTCAATAATTTTTGTGTTGTACTTTAAAAAGTCAACCTAATTATAGCATTGTACTTTCAGTTCTCTCTTATTAGAAGATTATAATTTTAAGAACCTACCCAATGGTATGCTATAACAAATAAATTAATGAAAATACACTGCTATTTCTTGCATTAAACCTATGTAATTTTTGCAAAACTAAAATCTTGTGTTTGATCAATGCCTTGATTGATACATTTACAATTCAGGAAAAAGATGTTTTTCCCATACCAGATATTGGAATGAAGCCAAGCAAACATCCAAGTGAGTTCTTCTGCAAGACTTTGACCCCAAGTGATACTAGCACACATGGTGGTTTCTCTGTGCCTCGTAGAGCAGCAGAAAAGCTTTTCCCACAATTGGTGAGATTTCATATAGTTCTTTCACAAATTCATAGTTACAATTCTTGATTGAATCATATTTGATTTTCCAGGATTTTTCAATGCAACCTCCGACTCAAGAACTTGTTGTTCGAGATTTGCATGATAATACATGGACATTCCGTCATATATATCGTGGTGAGACTTGTAAACAAACCCTAATTTTAATTCAGAAACGATATGCGACATTAGTTACCAAAAAAATTTCGCATGTTTTCTTCTTTTACACAGGGCAACCAAAGCGACACCTTTTGACTACGGGTTGGAGTATGTTTGTCGGTGCAAAACGGCTGAAAGCAGGCGACGCTGTTCTATTTGTCAGGTGAGAGCCGATTGATGCTCCAATGGCCATTTAAACAGCCCTAAAACAAAACACGAAACTTTTTAGGGCTAATTTCTGACATTGTAATGTATCTTGTACATTTAATTACGGTAGGGATGAAAGATCGCAATTACTATTGGGTGTGAGGCGCGCAAATCGTCAACAAACAGCTTCATCATCATCGGTTTTATCAGCTGATAGCATGCATATAGGAGTTCTTGCTGCTGCAGCTCATGCCGCTGCTAATCGAAGCCCATTTACAGTATTCTATAATCCAAGGTACGTCAATATGTATAACTATTAAACACAAAAGGGTAATTCCGTAATTGTATCTCCGACCCTAAGAATTTCTGTATTTCCATTGTTATTTTAGGGCGTGTCCGTCGGAATTCGTCATTCCATTGGCGAAATTCCGGAAGTCGGTGTACGGAATCCAGCTTTCCATTGGTATGAGGTGTGGAATGATGTTTGAAACCGAGGAATCCGGGAAAAGAAGGTATATGGGTACAATTACGGGCATAAGTGATGTTGACCCGTTAAGGTGGCCCGGGTCAAAGTGGCACAATCTTCAGGTGGAGTGGGATGAGCCTGGGTGTGGTGATAAGCGGGCCCGAGTGAGCCCGTGGGAACTCGAAAGCCCTGAAAATCTTTTCATTTTCCCTTCGCTCACATCAACCCTTAAACGTCCATTCGGTTTGGGCTTTTATGAAGCCCAAACCGAATGGGACAATATGGTAGCTCATCCGTTTATGCGGGCTACCGAACCTATAAATAGAAACTTTATGAACCCATCATTATCTAACCTATGGTCAGAACACCTCATAAAGACATTAACAAAACCCCACAGTGTTAACAACATTGTTAACACTGTTAACACAGGCTGCAGTTTGCCCGTAATCCAAGACGCGGGTAAACTGGAGCCTGTTATTATTCCTCAAAATGTTGTAAACGAGCTTCCGGTTGTTAACCAGTTGTCACCTCTCGACCCGCAGTTTGATCCGTCTCTTAGTGGGGTATTCCAGGGCCAAGAGAATAACACATCCAATAACGGTTTTTCTGGCCCCGGGCAGGAAAAGTGGGACCCGTGTGATGATGTTTATAATTGTCTTAATTTTGAGGGCAGTAACACGGGCAATGCGATTGTTGATCCGGTTTCGAGTGCAGTGTTGGATGAGTTTTGCAATTTAAAAGATGATGATTTCGAAGATCCTTCAAGTTATATAGTAAACAACAAATTTAGCCCGAGCCAAGATGTTCAGTCACAATTCACGTCGTCTAGCCTCGTTGATTCTCGGGCATACTCCGGGCAAGAGCTGCCCGACCACTCGGGCGGGACCTCGCCTGGAAACGGAGAGTTTGACACGGGACTCATGCAGATGGGCTCTTGGAAAAAAGTAGGCCCGCCTCCGCGTGTAAGAACCTATACAAAGGTCTGACTTTTCCATTCCTATAGACTTCCGAACATTTAGATACTAAACCCTAAACCCTAAATCATAAACCCTAAGTTTCTTGTGTTATTTGCAGATTCAGAAGGCGGGATCAGTGGGAAGATCGATTGATGTTTCTGGTTTCAAAAACTATGATGAACTATGTTCTGAAATCGAGAGGATGTTTGGGCTTGAGGGGCTGCTAAACGATGCAGTATATTCTGGTTGGAAGTTGGTGTATGTGGATTTTGAGAATGATGTTCTTCTTGTTGGAGATGATCCATGGGAGTAAGTTGATTTTAGCCGTATTTGAGATACTGAATTTATGTGAAAAAGATGAAGGGTCATATAAGATTATAAGTGATATAACCCTTATAGACTTATAGTTCTAATATGGATGCGGTGTAAATGCAGGGAATTTGTGGGATGTGTGCGATGTATCAGGATTCTGTCGCCATGTGAAGTTAGAAAGATGGGTGAAGAGGGAATGCAGCTTTTGAACAATAGCACTGCGGAATTGCAGGCTTTAATGGCGGTTTAACACCTGGGATGCCCATTTGTATGTGTGAAAGAAAGCTTCCAAGCTTTGTAATATATGAGTGCCACTTTAGCTAGAAGTGTATGTTGGTATTGAGGATTTTAAACCAGTAGTTATGGATAATAATAATAGGGAATTTAAAGGGGTTTGATGACGTGGCCTTTTTTGACTTTGTTATTGTTTATATGTTTGAGATTCGTTGTCAATATAAAAGTGAATTAATTGATCGTTAAATATCAGAAAGCAATCCATCAAATGCCTCACTCATTGTCATCCATAACCAAGATTGGTGCTTGGATGTGAGTTTTGAAAATGAATAATATAATATGAGTAACTATAATTACATAATTTGTAGTGATAGAGCATGATGTGAAAGATAGTGTTTGGATGTGTATGTTAATTAAAGATTCAATATAATGTTGGGTGTTTGACAAGTTCTATATATGGTGTATAAGTAATTTTATTTTTTCATGTAATAATCATTATTGATAATCATTATTCAATATAAAGATTCAATATCATTATGCTAAATTATTCAAAATTAATCAACCCCTATGAAGTATGAAGTATCAGCTGAGGATAGTGGCAATTATTTCGATTGAGTACTTAATGAATCAATTTGAGTTCTATTGGTTAAATGAGTAAGTTTGATAAAGTTCTATCACAAAATAATCATTTATTTCTATGACATGATAACCATGACAGTTGATGTTTTATCATAAAATAACTATCTTTTGAACATTTATTTCCAAATAATCATATATTTCACAAAAAACGACTTCACAAATAATTATTTTCTGTGAAATTGTTTTATAAATGGTTTTCATTACAGAAAATAATGTTTTTCGAGCATATTTCGTAGCAAACGACTTCACAGACTATTATTATTTTACTAGATGTGACACCTATGTATTACATGGGTTTAATTAAAAAAATATATATAAAATTTTAACAATTTGAAAAGTTTGAATTTATAAGAAAAATGAAAAAAAAAATTGAATTATTAAAATTATTGAAACTTTAATGTATTGAATAAATTATATATATAAACACTTTCTAATAAATACTTTACATATATATTACCTTACACATTAAATGTAGAATTTTAATTTAATAAAATGAAAAATACAATAAAATAACAAGTGAAAAATAGATAATTTAAAAATTTTAGAAAATATCAAGTGTCCAAATGAAGAAGAAGATGACATATGGTAAAAAAAAACTTTCATTTATTATAGTAAATTTTGCGAAATATATAGTTAGTTATAGATAAATATTCAAATTGCGAAAGAATACCATTATTTTGATATTTTAGGTTGTGTTTTGAACACATAAACCAACATATTATTTAAATTTATTTCAATTTAATATTTAATGAATAGTTATCATATCTTATAAACTAGAAACTTTTTGACTTACAATAAAAGTTAGTTTATAAAATATATATAATAAAAAGTAGTTATTGATTTCAGAATGAAAGTTCTTATATGTTCAACTTATCGTATGTTTTGAACTCTTTATATTTCGAACTCAAATTCAATAAATCTGATTCAAATGCGCTCAAGTAGCCCGATTAAAAGTTAAAACTCTAATTAGTTTGGACCATGGACTTTGCAGTCTTATTTAAAGTTGTATCCGTTTTTTTCAATAGAAAATTTACGGGTCAGCCCAAATCTATTTAGCCCGTTTCCTTCCTGGACGAAACTATATCCCCTACCCTTCCACCCAGCTTCTCGGCCTCAATATGAACAGCAACACAACGTCAGCAAGTGCTGCGAGGCGACCACCATGAATACTGCGACTGGAATACTATCATCTTCGTCATCTACCTTTTTCAACTACAATCGATGTCACCCATTTGTCATCTCGTCCTTTACTTCATCTTATAAAACCCACATTCGGTCTTCTTGGAAAAGGAGGGTCTGGAGGAGCATGCCCATGAATTCATCACCACCTTCGTCTTCGTCTTCGTCCCTTTATAGCGGTGCATCCGACACCAAAATTGAGCCTACTGTATTATCGTCGGTTGCCGCAGGGCTACAGACGTTTAAGGAGAAAAACAAGCCGACAAAGCAACAACCGTGGCTGATTGTAGGTCTTGGAAACCCTGGAAAATTGTATAACCGCACAAGGCACAATGTTCGTACTCTCGCTCTATTTAGTTACTTTTATTATTAGTATATGAAGATTGTTTGCATTGAGGAATTGAGATCAAATTCAGTTCCTCTGGAGTAGGGCAGATTTGGGCGAAATAATGATAAGGTGGGATTGAGAGAGATGATAAGAACTGATTTTGTAAATCTTAAATAATAGCGAATAGATGAAAAGGGCATTAGGTTTTCACAATTTTGTGATTACATATATGAACAAAAATTTCATAAACCATAATCATGTCAATTAGATCATATTTTTCCGATCTTATCAAATTATTCAACCCTAATCATCAACAACCCTCCTCTTGTTCCAAATTAGCTATTCATTATGATTATTTTGATATAAATTTGATGAAAGTTATGTAATTGCAGGTGGGTTTTGAGATGGTAGATGCAATAGCAGAGGCTGAAGGTATCTCCATGAGCAAGGTTTCCTTCAAAGCTTTCTTTGGGAAAGGTTTGTGGTCCTTTAACTTATTATTATTCTCAAAGAACGCATCATCTAAAGCCCTGTTTCTTCTTTTATTATGTTGATCCATGTTCATTTACTGATTTAAAAAATGGATTTGGTTTCTCTTTCTCTTTAGGGTGTATTGGAGATACACCATTGATGCTTGCCAAGCCACAAACTTTCATGAATGTTAGCGGGGAGTCTGTAAGTATGCTAATCTGATGCTATAAATGGTCCTTTTTGTTTTCTACAATCAATTAACTTCTTGATCCTTTTTCAAAGGTTGGAGCAATTGTCTCTTTCTGTAAGATTCCACCAAAGCAAGTACTTGTGGTAAACTGTCAAATTTGTCTTTTCTTTTTTATCAACACCTTTCTAAATGCTTTGAACTAATAATGCTTCACTTTCAGATTTATGATGACTTGGATTTGCCTTTTGGAAAGTTGCGTCTATTACCAAAAGGTGGACACGGGGGACACAACGGGTAACTGCCATGTCACAAATTGAGACTCTTTTATTATATGATTTTCCTAGTTATTTTTTTCATCTTTTTAGCATATACGAGTTGTAAATAATTGTGATGATGGTGAATTCGTGATGATATTTATGTTAGGATGAAGAGTATAATCAATCACCTTAAAGGCAACCGTGAGTTTCCCCGTTTAAGAATAGGTTTGTTGACCATCCTTTGACCGGTTTCTACAAAAAAGAAAATTATAACTCTAATGTGGTATTGACTTGGTCAACGGTCTATAGGTATTGGGAGGCCTCCAGGCAAGATGGAAGCTGCAGCTTATGTTCTTAAACGATTTAACAAACAAGAAAGTGAGGAGGTATGTAACATAAAACAACTTTTCTAGGTTAATTTCAAAGCATTCACATAATTCCTAGACACAAGATTTTGAGAGAGAAAAAGTTGCAAATTTTTGTCCCATTGACACAACCCTAACTTTGTGTTTTGCAGTTGGAGTTCACCTTTCAAACTGGCATCGAAGCAATTCGAGTTCTTTTGCTCCAAGGTTTCGACAAGAGTGCGACATTTGTGAATTCTCCAAAACCCTTGAAACATCTTCAATGAAGCAATTGTTTCTCCAATCATTGGTGACTTATTTTTGACATACATCGGTACAAACAGGATTGTTTAATAAACCGTAGACTAGCCATTTGGGTATTCTTAGTTAGTTTGATTAAATTTATACAAAAATGACGTAATTGATATCTTAGAAGCTGTTGCTACTCCATTAGATTGAGGGGTGATTTCTCATCGCACCCTATGGTGAGTTGTGGTGGTGTGCTGAAATTTTGAACTGTGTAATGATTTGCAAACTACCCTTTGTGATAAAGGTAGTCCTGAATTTTGAAAAGGGGAAAAAATATCGTAAATCTTAAACGATTTTGGTCTATTTAATGGCAACACTTCTATGATTTCAAATGCACACCCCAAATTCCAAATTTCTTAGAATTCCATATGACAGTTTCTATAAAGTATTGTGTACAAGGATGTTATGTTTCGTTTTCCAGAGTTATAATTAAATCAAGAGATGTTATCTGTTAACGCCACTAGCCACACGGGAATTGCATGCCAAAGATGTGCAACACGTGTCTAGAAGAACAATTTAGTGAGTGGGTGAAACTCTGTACTAATTAATGACGAAGTTATCCGAAATAGAGCCTTGTGGGCGACTGAGTGCTCATCAAATCAATAGATGTCATCATGTTTAGAGGAGAACCAATAGGCAGTTTCAAGTCTTTGACTTGTAACATATGGTAGTATACAATAATTGAATCTTGAACGATAGCGCAGAGTCGTCATGCGGTTTGGAAATGGGCTAGGGTGGTACCGGCCCGTCGGGTTACGTCACCTAGCACCGTCGGTTTAGCTTGGTGAACTCGTGAGTATTGCAGATGTATGTGAACTTTTTGACAGTTCAATGACAAACAATTTAATATGCATGTATAGAAAATTGATTCCCTCCTCAATCTTATTTTATTTTATTTAATGTACGTGAGTTTTTGACAACTTTATTCATGCGTGCCATTATTTATTTATTTATTTTGTTTTATAAGTTTATAAAGATGAATACACAATTCACTCGCTTGTAGTATGTTTTATGTGAGAAATTTTATATTTCGTTCAATTCATTATGTTGCCTTCAATGGATTCCCAGGACAAAGCTAAACAAACCGTTTTTACCCAAAAATACTACATGAATTCCAGGACAAAGCTAAACAAACCGTTTTTACCCAGAAATACTACATGAATTGCGCAATGTTGAAACTCACCACCAGTTTTGATCTAATCTTATTGATCACATTGAATGTGTCTACATTTCAACTCTAGATGGCTAGTTAATTTTAGTGTGTTGATATTTTAATTATTTTGTCTTTTTAAGTGTGTTTTTTAGTTATCGTGTATTTTTTTTATTTGTAGTGTGGTTTTTTAATAAAATATTATTTTTAATATTATTTTAGATTTTTTTTAAAATAAGAAAAAGTTAATTTTTAAATGAAGAAATGTTATTTTTTATTTTTATATTTTCTAATTTAATTATATAAAATAAAGAATGATGTGGCAAGTAGGTTGAGAAATATAGTGTTTCCATGTGTTGTGAGTTGAAAAAGATAGAAAACAGAAAAAATTAATATGACAGTAGGTTAGAAGGGAATGACTCTCTCCTCCTTAGAGAGCTTCACATGTATGTTTTCGCATATCCTTAGAGAGCTTCACATGTATGTTTTCGCATATGATTTGACAAATAGTTAGAAGATAACATAAAGCCAAGAAACAACTTGTTAACCGATTAGATGTTGGTCGACGTCGGACGGTAGAGGAGACATCATGGCTACCAAAGTTAAGAATTTGTATCTATTTATTTGTTCGACGAAAACTTGGGTGAAAGTATGTTGAAGACTAATTTTTCATGTAGTTGCCATTGTCCAAGAAATAGCTAGTCATTCATAGATTTTTAAAGAAACTGTTGTTAAATGAACACATGTTCTTTATATGGAAACTATTGTAAATTGTACATTTCGTTTCGATTTGTGATCTGTACACATTAGCTTCAATAATATTATGTTTTTTATGAGTTATTATTTTTAATGTGACATTTGTTTCGTATAAAGAATTTACTAAAAAGAAACATACAAGTTATCACATACTACTTAATTACATAATCTCATAATTTTTATCTTTAAAGAAAGTTTTACACATTTTGTACATAATCTATTTCGTTGTCTAAAAAATTATAACAAAATTCTATCTTTTGATTTTGATCACTCACATAAAAAATTAGTTTCCGACAAAACCTATATGATGATTAAAGAATGAGATATATAATAGATCTCGGTTTTCTTGAAACATCTTACGGGACATCAACAAAAGTCTCACTATTCAATGAGTGAATAGCAAGAGGGGCTCATCAGTCCGTCAATCGATACCAAGAGATTTTTCACAACATACCATGTCAACACCAAAGTTGTATGCGGAGACATATAACTTGTCCCCGACTTCAACCTTCATTGTTGGTGGTAGTCCAAAAAGCTAAAGAATCCGAGGAAAGCTTATTTCTATTTGTAAAAACCAGTTAAATAATAACATTTACAAGCTTCGAACATGTTCATTATATATGGAGAAATTTTGCAAAAGATTTTAAAGTGGTGTTTATTATGAAAATATTCGAACTTTATTTATAGAGGTACTACAATCATTGTTGATCCGTACACAAAAAAAATCTTCGTACATAACAATTGATGCTTTAAAATATTGTATTGTACAATTATATAATCCATGAATTGTTATGTATGTCAAATTGTTCCCTTTTCGAAAACATTATTTTGCAACATATTCGTTAATATCGGTGTTTTTTTTAAGAAAAATATGGTTAATGCGTGATTTACGTTTGAAAAATATGGTCTAAAATGAATATATAACTTGTTTTTTAAAATACACTTGAATTGAGGTGCAAATGTATCTGGTTGAAAATTGGCCTGACCCCACATGATCCAAACTCCCTCCAACGTTGATGGTGGATGACAGATTCTTCTGTGATGGTTGATTTTTGACATTCGGGGAGGGCCAGAAACGCAGCAAAAATGTCATCTGCAACTTCCCTTCGCTCTCCATTCCTCTCACCTTCTTCTCCATCGAAGCTTTCTTCTTCATCGTCTTCTCATTTTCACTCGCTTTCCTTCAAATGCTCAAGAAATCAACGCTCCCCTGCTTCTTACCCTCACCTCATCAAAGCCGAGCTCGACCAGAACACGGTTTGTTTCTAATTTTTGATTCCTTCGTAACAGCATCATGACTCCTAATACAATTTGGTCAATAACTAAGTTTTATGCTATGTTTTGATTACACTGAGCTTTTGTTGGCGGCGGCAGGTGGTGGCAGTAGCGGTTGGGGTGATGAGCGTCGCTGCTGGAATTGGTTTACCCATTTTCTACGAATCTCAAATTGATAACGCGGTAATTCGTTTCATCATTGTTCTTTCATTTTCGTTTGATTTGTGGATGTTTTTTTTCGATTGGATTAGCCCCAAATGCTGCCACTTTGCCAATTTATTGTTTATCTATAAGAGAATTACGCTTGGATTGTGTTCGTTTTAACTAATGTCCAAATATACCGAAATATGTTGTAACTTAATTATTAGGCATATAATTATGAAATATTGAAATTCCGGTAATAACCCTAACTTATAAGATGATTCTCAAATTGATGATATATAGCCTTACACAAACTTTATCATCAACTATCTCCATCCGAACCAAAGTGATTTGGGGTGTTTGGGTATCCTGATTACGAATATAACTTTGGTTTGATCCCTTAGAGGTGAAATATAATCCAAATTGCTACATTTACGTATAAACGGGTCGATTTGGCTCCTATAACAAGATTCTTGAATAAAATATGGTATTAAGTACTTAGTAGTATTGAAAACCGAATCTAAATTGAATATTTGTAAAAAAATGTATGTGGTGCAGGCAAAACGAGATAACACTCAGCCATGCTTCCCCTGCAGTGGAACTGGGTCACGTAAGTCGCTCTTTTCCAATTTATACTTTTGTTTCCCAAATTGGTAAAAAAAAGTGCATAAAAAAATGTAATTTTATGAAGAATTGATTAGCCTATTGTTAGTAGTTAATACTAATCTGGATGGATGTGAAAGTTGTGTGTTTGTTGTTGTTGTTGTTGCAGAGTCATGCAGATTTTGCACAGGAAGTGGTAATGTAACGGTGGCGCTTGGAGGTGGTGAAAATGAAGTCTCGAGATGCATAAACTGTGATGGTGCTGGTTCTTTGACCTGCACCACTTGTCAAGGCAGTGGCATTCAACCTAGATACCTTGACCGCAGGTAAAATGACTATATTGCCCTTCACATAGTTTTTTGTTTCTGTAAATATATTTTGTTTATAACAATATAAATTCAAAAAAACATATATATCTAAAAAAAAAAAAAGATGAAGTGAAGTATAGTAATTTCACTTGGGAGATAGACGAAAAGCGTTAGAAACATCAAAATAAGGACCAAAGTTGCAAATAGATTCCTTTAGGGACCAGAATCGTAAACTCATGGATCAAAAATGTAATTTACCCATAAAAAAGGTACTTTTTGCTTTTTTTTTTTCGTGTGATGTTTTATAATGGGAAAATGGTATTTTTAAACCGTCAAAAAAGTAAACCAGCTAAATCGATAAAATGGTGAATAAACCGGCTAAAAAAATGCTATATAATTTGTTTTATTGTTTTGTAACTCATGATGATTATGATTTGCATTGCCAGAGAATTCAAGGATGATGACTAGAGAGTGTTTGTTGAGGCATTATGATCAAAGGGTAATTAACTTCATTTACTGTGAAAGATGAATGAACATCTTTGTTTTTTCCATTTTCATATAAAGAATAATATATATTTCTCTTCAGTATTATATTTTTTTTTGTAAATTCGGTGAATGAATTCTTTTCATTCTTGTTGAGCTAATAACTACTGCTCAATCATTTTATCCTTATGTGTATAACAGCAACAAGAAGTTCAACATATGCATCTCTATTTATCACTAGGAGTTCTTGCAAGATTATGCACTAATATAATAAAACTAGGATCTCTTACAAACAAATATAAGTAGGATGCTATAATAGGAGTAGATGAAAGTAGAATGATATAATAAACAAACCAATATAAGTATGTTGCTAGTTTTTAAAGAACATGAAATCCTAAAGCAGATACAATGAATCCAAAAAGCCCGAAAGAATTTTGAAGAAGAAAATGCCGATGAATTCATATACTTTCTGGAATAAATTAAAGGATGAAACAGTAACGATAATTAGTAAGCAAATCGATTCAAGGAAAATGGAATAGGCTACAAGATTTTGTCCATGATAAAAGAAATCATTTCTAAAGCTATGTTAGACACATAACAACTTATTTTTCGAAAAAATAAATCATACATTAAATTAGCGTTACAATGATCTTAAAGAGTTTTGTTTTCAAAATTCTCTCATATACAAGAATTTCATTTATATCCTTGGAAACTTAATATTACTTATATATCCTTATAAACTTTAGAATTTCGTGTATATCCTTCTAAAACCATAAAATTCATGTATATATGGAAATTCATATTTTAATTAGATTTAAACTAATTAAGTATTAAAAAATATATCAGAATTCGAATTTGTATATAATGTACCTAAAATACCCATCTCAAATAAAAAATTAAAATTAATCCATTTGACTAGGATTTGATTATTTTAACATGAGAAATAGAAATCATTGCATTAATTCGTATTTAACTATTTTCAATAGTTACATTTGAAAAATATGTTTCAGTAAACCTATTTATCACAAAACCAACTGTAATTCGTAATATTTTATTTTATCATAATGTATATTTCATTATATCATATTATTATTGATGATATAAAAAAAATATAAAATTATTACATAAAAAACAAGATTTTGGTTTTTTAAACATAAATTATTAGAAAACTATTATTTAGTCTTTTTTTTTTCTAATATTTAATTAGTTTTTATGTTATTTTATATTATTTTATATTCTCAACTATCTTATCATCTAGTTTTACCAAAAAAAAATTATCAACCACCAATTAATTTTTAGATAGTCTATAAAAGGATTTTCTTCTTGTACCCCAAATTGCTTAGTTTATCCCCTTTGAAATGATGTTTTGTTAGTTATGTTTTTTTTTTTTTTTTTTTTTTTTTTTAAATATATTTACTAAATATATATTATTGTTATTAAAATTAAAAATATATTTTTTGCTTGTTCAGACTATTTCGTGTTATTTTTCTCATTCAGACTATCATGGTTTATTTTTTTGTTTGGTCTATCAATGTGTTGTAGTTTTAGGTGGCATGTTATTTTTCGTTCGGATTATGTTTATGTTATTTTTTTCGTTTGTACTATTTATGTGTTTTTTTTTTACTATCACTGTGTTATTCTTTTTGTTTTGACTACCCGTGAGTTTTTTTTTTTTTTTTTTTTCAGACTACTCATATGTTATTTTATTCGTTTGACTATCCTTGTTTTATTTTTTTTCGTTTGGACTTTCATTTTGTCACTTTTTCATTCATACTGTCAATTTGTTATTTTTTTTTTACGTACTATCATTGTGTTATTTTTTTTTGTTGGAACTATCATGTGTTATTCTTTTGTTGTGATTTTCATACCCACTAGATAAAACTCACACACAAACACACATAATTATTAGTAAAAAAAGTTAAAAGAAAAACAAATATATAAGAAATATTTTTATAGAAAAAAGTATAAATATACAAATTCAATTTTTAAAACAATACACGCATACGTAATTGTTTGTAAAAGAAATGAGTTTGGACCACCCTGTCCACCCTGTGCTGTTCGTGGACCAATATATTAAGACAACCATAATAATTATTAGAATTTAAAAATAAAATATCAAAGACAAAAAAACAAATGGTCTATAATAGGCCTGTCAAAATTGTACCGTTAAAAATCAACCAACATGTTACCAACTGAAACAAAAAAGTATGTAGATAATATGTTTGGTAGCCAACATGTTGGTTGGTAGTACCGTATCAATTAAACAATCTTGGTATGGTAATGGTACAAAACTTTGAATATCATAGTAATATCGTACCAACTAGGGGTGTTAAATCGTGCTATCGTTTTGTGTTTCTGTCTGACACGATACGACACAACAATGTTTTATATAACACGAACACGACACGATATCGTGTTTTTTTAACTAACATGAAAATGAACGAATTAAAAAACGACAAACACGACACGACACGAAAAATATAAAATATACTAAAAAGTAGTTTATTTAACGAATAATTTATCAAATATAGCACGAAAAACACGATAAAGAACTATTAAATCGTATCAAATTTTAAACACGAACACGACATCGTGTTTTTTGCAGTTAACACGAACTCGAATTCAAATTTTAGTTTCGTCCCAATTTCGTTTTGTATCGTGTATTTGTGTGGTGTCATGTCATAAATTATCACCCATATTACCAACCAATTCATATATATATATATATATATATATATATATATATATATATATATATATATATATATATATATATATATATATATATATATATATATACACTCCATATTTACAAGGTTTGGGGAAGATACCTTGTCTTTGGCGATGATTAAAACAACCTCATTCAAGTAAGGTAGAGGTGGCAAAAATTGACCCGACACGAAATAAACGAGTTTGGGTAAGACATTTCAACCCGTTTAAATAAACGGGTTAATACGACACGACACGAAAATAAAACGGGTAAGGTTAGGGTTGAGAATTTTAACTCGAATATGACTCAAAAATGACCCGTTTATTTATATGCAAATTTTTTGAATTATTTAAATAAACTAGAAAGATACAAAACCAAAACCATAAGTAAAAGAAAACCTTCAAATTGAGTCGTTTTATAATGTTGAAATGACTTCATCTATTCTGCCTCCAAACTATTAGTTTTTCCTCTCCGCCTACCCAACTCTTACTCTTTTAACATAGTCAATCTTTTAACCTCACATGACACCATATTTCAAAATATAGCCCTAACCCGAAACCCGACACGAAAATAAACGGGTTGACACGACACGACACGACACGTTAATTAAATGGGTCGGGTTAGGGTCAAGTACTTTCAACCCGTTTAGTGTTTCGACACGACACAACACGATTGCCACCTCTAAAGTAAGGGTGGAAATGGGGCAATCGTGTCATGTTTTGTCTGACACGACACAACATAATAATGTTTTATGTAACACAAACACAACACAAAGTTATGTTCTGTTTAACTAACACAAAAACGGATCAAATAAAAAACGATGAACACGACAAGAAAAATATAACATAGAATGACAATTAGTTTATTTAAATAATACTTAATCATATATAACACGAAAAACACGATAAAAAAAATGTTAAATCGTATCAATTTTGTGTCAAATTTTGTCTGACATGAAGTCGTGTTTTTTATACTATACACAAACATGAATTCAAATTCCAATATGGTCACAATTTCATTTCACATCGTGTATTTTGGTAACAATTTCGTTTCATATCGTCTATTTTTAAGACTGTACACCTTTCTTTTGACCATTTCCTAATTGAAATCCTAAAGACTCGATCTCTCAAATAAAAGTTGACTAATTTCCTCTGGTGTTTGTATAATCGAAATAAAATTTAAACATTTTACGTTGTTGTATATTATCTTTCTAATAATATTGGTTAGGAGTCAGGACATTTTGGGTTTCACTGTCACACAACATGTTGGGTTTATACTTTATTACAAAAACCTAATAATGGTGGCGAAAGCAACGGGGCAACCCAAGATTGATTGTTTCAACTGCCGAGTGTTTCCAATAGTGTCCACTACCAACTCCCAAAATCAGTAAGCCGCTAAAAACCAATGCGGCGCGCCATTTGTCGGTGACCATTTCTATTTCAGCATCTCCGTGCCCTGCAAAAGGACACAAACCCACACACCTAAAACCTCTCCATCTTCTGAATCTGAAGGCCAAATATTCCACCACATTGGATTTAGATCTTCAGATCCATACATTATCGCCTGCCAATTCACTTCAGGTTTGTCAAATCTTTTGATTTCGTTCAAAGTAAGCAACATTGATTCGATTCAAATCTCCTAATTGTTGAGCTACTGTTTTTTTAGATCGGAGGGATTCTGTTTGGGGAAAATGGGGAAGGAGAAGAAATCCGGTGGATGTTTCGGGTGGTTTATTGTGCTAATTGTAGTGGGGGCTATCGCGTTAGCATTAGGGCTCACACTGAGGAACAAATTTCACAAGGGTGACGGTGATGCTCCTGTTCCTGGTCCTCCCGGAGCTGTTACGAAAAAGTACGGGGATGCTCTCGAGGTTGCCCTACAGTTCTTCGATATCCAAAAATGTAAGCTTACAATCTTAAAAACAACTACTTATTCATGCTAGATTCAAAGATATATCTCAATTCAATGCCCTACAGATCTTAAGTTTCTTCCTTTTATTGCTTTATGTAGCTGGGAAGTTGGAGAATAACGAAATATCATGGAGGGGGGATTCAGCTCTACAAGACGGAAAAGACGCTGATTTAGATCTTTCTAAAGGAATGTATGACGCCGGAGATCATATGAAGTTTCAATTTCCGATGGCTTACACAGCCACCGTTCTTTCATGGGCAATCCTCGAGTATGGAGATCAGATGAATGCAGCGGGTCAATTAGAATCCGCCAGAAACTCACTCAAATGGCTCACCGACTACTTCATCAATGCTCACCCTGAACCTAATGTTCTCTACGTTCAGGTCGGTGATCCAGATCTTGACCACAAATGTTGGGATCGACCTGAAGATATGACTGAAAAAAGGCCTGCGATACAAATAAACGCATCTTCCCCAGGATCAGACGTTGCAGCTGAAACTGCAGCAGCAATGGCAGCTGCTTCACTGGTGTTTAAGTCTAACTCTGGTTATTCAAGCTCGCTTCTTAAACATGCTAAAGAGCTGTTTACTTTTGCGGATCAAAATAGAGGTCTTTATAGTGAAAGCATCCCTGAAGTTCAGACTTATTACAATTCAACCGGTTATGGTGATGAGCTTTTGTGGGCAGCTAGTTGGCTTTATCATGCAACAAAAGATCACACGTATCTTGATTATGTAACGGGAAGTAACGGTGAAAGTTATGCTAATTGGGGAAGTCCTACTTGGTTCAGTTGGGACGATAAACGCCCCGGGACTCAGGTAATGTCCGTTCCCAGCAGCAATCTTTAAGTCCCAATTTGTTACGCACTACAGAACAATACAATACAAAATTGCATTGTTCTGCGTAACAATTGATTTTGATGGGACAAAAAGTTTGTCCCATCAAAAAAATGGGACAAGGACAAGGTGAACTTGTCCACCTGATGCTGTCCCATGTAACAAACACAGTTTTATTATTGGCTGATTATGATTTGGTGATTATTATAACTCCAACACGTTAAACTTGATAGGTTCTTTTATCGAGGGTAAGTTTCTTTGATTCAAAAGTTGCTTCAAATGCAAACCTCCAAAAGTACAAAAAAACTGCTGAGGCTGTAATGTGTGGCCTCCTTCCAAAATCCCCAACAGCAACAGAAAGCAGAACAAAAGGTATGTTACCATTCTATGTCAATATATATTCATGTTTATATATATACATTCATCCTTTTCATATCTCATTATAATCTGAACAACACAGGTGGCCTTTTATGGATCAGCCAATGGAACGCTTTACAGCATCCAGTAGCTTCTGCTTTTTTAGCAGTCATTTACAGCGATTACATGCTCACATCTAGCACTCAAAAAATCCACTGTGATTCCAACTCTTTCAGAGCAGCAGATCTTAGAAAATTTGCCATGTCACAGGTTTGACTCGTTCTTCTGTATTTGACATGTTAGAGATAAACATAAAATATAACCTAAATTCATTGATTGATTGATTTTAGGCGAACTATGTGTTGGGAGACAATCCAATGAAGATGAGTTATTTAGTTGGATATGGTGACAAATACTCACAATTTGTGCACCATAGAGGAGCTTCGATACCTGTTGATGCAACCACAAATTGCTCTAATGGTTGGCAATGGCTGGAATCGGATACACCGAACCCTAATGTTGCAACCGGAGCGCTTGTTGGAGGACCGTTTTTGAACGAGACATTTGTGGATTCGCGGAATAATTCTATGCAGACTGAACCGAGTACTTATAATAGTGCGGTTATTGTTGGGCTTTTATCGGGTTTGGTTACAACTTCATCGGTTGTTACATCCTTCACGTAATAATGGTCTTGTTACACATTATTTTTATTATTTTTTTAAGCATGAGTGCTGCTATTGTAACTGTAATGTTGTGTAAGGGGCTAGGTGATTACACGTTAGAATTATAAAAGTTATGTGGTGACTGGTGAGTGTATATAGTCCTAGTTACATTGATTGTTATTTGTCAATTGGTTTTGAGTTGAAATTCTAAGCTCTAGTACGATTTTTATGTGAAACTATATTATGTGTTGGAACTCAAAAATGTGGTTGTGTGTACATGAAGTTGAGAATATGCAGGGCACTACTAGAGATGCACAAAACCGGGCACTCACATAGTAATTTAATGTAGGGATAATGACTTGAAAGGGTAACGAACTTTCGACTTTTGTCACATTTAGTCACTAAACTTTTTTTTGTTATCTATTTGCCATTAAACTATTGAAACTGTTCACATTTTACCCTTATGACCGGCTGTTACCGGTCATAAGGGTAAAATGTGAACGGTTTCAATAGTTTAGTGGCAAATAGATAACGAAAAAAAGTTTAGTGACTAAATGTGAACAAAATCGAAAGTTTGTTTCCCTCTAAAAAGTTCAATGACTAAATGTGAACAAACTTCCTATTGTATTATGTTTTAGCAAAATTATTTATTTTTGTTTAATTGTAGCAACATTTGTTGATGAAGAAATCTATGAAATAAAAAAACAAAATGCAACATCTGGATTTCCAGGTATCATAATTTAAGTATTTTTCTTTTGAGTTAAGAAGAGAGACTCGACGAGTTGACGCCTCAACTCATCGAGTAAGGTCGCAACTGATGACTCGGATTAATGAATGGACTCGACAAGTCAGTGAGGCGACTCGACGAGTCTGTGTTGTTGGCAGAAACCCTAAATCTTTGGGCCCGAGCCATACTTAAAGGCACTTATGGCCTTCAATTACCACTACCTTTCCCATAAGTGAGAACCCTAGCGAGCTTGAGTGTGTAGAGTGAGAGGAAGAGTTATCTTGAGCTTTTTGGTGTGATGGATCTGGACCCTTCTAGGTTCATAGAGCCGAGAATATGAAGCTTTAGTAGAGCAAACCTTGGGGTTCGAAGTTAGGAAGCATTTATGGGATTTTTATGGTAGATATAGTTACTTTCATCTTACACATAGATATGAAGTATTTTATATAAATTACGTGCTATGTGTGCATATTATTTGAATACTTGGTGTCTATGTTGGATGAACGATTTTATACATGTTTTAAAAGATTTAAACGGTATATTTATTTTATATCTACAAATATGTTGCGGATGAAACATGGGTAGATGAAATAGTTGGTGTGTGATGAAATAAAATGATGAGAGATATGTGATGATAGAAATGTGATGATAATTAGGTATATAGATGATGATGAATATGTGATGTAGGATGAAAGGAGATACCATAACCTTAACCAACAATGTGGCGATGTAGTCATCTACCAGAGTATAGATGGCGACCACAGACTACTCTAGACAACACAGTGGAAACACCAGCAGGCCCATAACCTGTAGGTGATGAATTACGAGTTCAGGCAATGTTGTAACTACGTATTCATGCGATGATACTCTAACCCCTTACTATGAATTACGAGTTCAGACGATGTTGTAACTACATATTCATGGGATGTCACAAATTTCGCATGCCAAACCAATGGTCATAATTCACATCAGTGAGAATGGTTCATTTTTTTTGTAAAACCAAAATTAGATTGGAAATTTTGATTTTTTATTTTGGAAAATGTCAAACCATTGGTTTTGTATTTTGGTTTCGGTTTTTTTTTTTTTTTAAATATATTTTTAGGGTTTTTTTTTTATTATTTCATAGATTTCTTCATCAACAAATGTTGCTACAATTTAACAAAAATAAATAATTTGCTAAAACATAATACAAGAGGAAGTTTGTTTACATTTAGTCATTGAACTTTTTAGAGGGAAACAAACTTTTGACTTTTGTCACATTTAGTCACTAAACTTTTTTTCGTTATCTACTTACCATTGAACTATTGAAACTGTTCACATTTTACCCTTATGACCGGCAACAGCCGGCCATAAGGGTAAAATCTGAACAGTTTCAATAGTTCAATGGCAAATAGATAACGAAAAAAAGTTTAGTGACTAAATGTGAAAAAAGTCGAAAGTTCGTTACCCTTTCAAGTCATTATCCCTTTAATGTAACTTCTAATGGTAGCGTGGTTTGTTGTTTTCTCTATAAATCAAATTCAATAAATTTTATTTTTACAAAACAAATAAACGTCTTAATGCCCTAAATGAAATGACAAATTTTGCCCCGGATAAATACTTTTTCAGAAATTAAATTGTCTTCTAACCTTTTATGCCTACAAATATTCGTACCCACTAACATTATTACATATGTCACCATTTCATATTTACTTAAATATCTCATTAAGGTAGGAAGCAATTTAATTAAATTGAATGGTGGAATGACGATGACACATGTCAAAAAGTTAGTGTATAGGAATATTTGTAGGTATAAAAGGTAGAAAACAATTTACTTTTTACATTTAATTTAATTTAATTTATTATTAAATGTTCTTTGGGACCTTAAAACATCATATTCATAAAAAGCTCAACTATAAATAGCTTACATGAAAAGAGAAAACACATACTAATTCCATAAAAGAAGGAAACAAATTTTAACTAAAATTAAGAAGTTAAATCAACTCTTATTAAAGTTGCTAAGACACAACCTTTCTCGCAGTTCTTTTAACTTCATTGAAGCTAGCGCTTTGGTTAGTTGTCTGCTAGCTAATCATCAATCCTGTATATTTCTAATGTGATTGTTTCTTCTGCAACTAAGTCACAAATGCAATGATGTTTTATTTCATTGTGTTTTGTTCTTCCATGCATCACTGGATTTCTGGTTAATGGTACATCTAACTGATTATCACAAAACACTTGAGTGGAATGAGCTTGTGTCAGCCACATAATCAACCTCGATGGAGGATAATGCAACATTGTGTTGCAATTGTACTCTTCTAGTCATCTTGAGAGCCTGCGTAATCCTTATCAGAGTAGCCTCTCAATACAAATGTTGTACTATGCGTGTGTTAGATTTTAGGTCCAAGAATATCAATATATACTTGGATAATTCTAGAATCGTGATTGCAATCACTTCCCAAAATCTATGAATTAAATCCTATAGTTTGTGGTATCACGAAATCAGATCTGGGATAATCCAAGAATGACAATTTAGAAGTCATGCAACTTCTAAATTCGAAACACGGAAAATACCTTGTAGTTTTGTGTTTTGACGAGATAGAGAGAATCTAATGATCAAATTTCGAGTCTGAAAAATTCAACCCTTTTCAGGAACATTCTGTAACGCCCGCAGATTCGCGCTAGTCAATTTAGAGGCAATAAACATCAAAAATGACTTTTTGAAAGAAGATTATTTAGAATGAATAATCTTAACTAAGTTGTAGTATATGTCACAAGGGTTCCGTACATATAAAGAACGATAAAATCCGAGTTATAACCAAGAGTTATGACCTGTCGAAGTTTTGCGATAAAACCAGCACAATGTTGTGTGACGTAAAAAGTGAGTTTACGATGAAATACTTTTTAGCCTTAGCAATCTTAACAAAATTCGTAGTATACGTTAAACCGAGAGCGTGCATAAAAAGAACGTCCAAATCTTGACTTTGTATGAGGAAGTTATGATTTTTGTAAGATTCGGCATAGCAGTATGCAACCTAGAGTTCGAATATTAGATCGACCGATTTTTATCCGACACAACCTAAATGAAAATCGAAGATCTCATTAATAGGAGCTCAACGATAAAAAGACGGACGAAAACGGATGTCAGATGATAAAGTTATGAATTTTTAACGGACTTTTTATGTCCTGACCTGTTAAAATATAACTTTAAAAATAAAGTCAAAATTAGCCTATGGAGTCTAAACGAAAGTTGTAGACTATGTATCCACCTACGCGTGGATATAAAGAATGTCGAAAACGGAGCTCGTATCAAAAGTTACAGATTTTAGAAGACGAAAGTGGATAATGTGAGGAGAGTGGGAACGCCCCGCGCAGAGAGACCGAACGCCCCACGTACTTGCATGCATGACCTCGGATCAACCACGTTGCCCCGGCAGTCTTTGGCACTTGTCCCTCCAAACGCGCTGCGTATGCCGAAACGCCTTGCGTACCTGCGAGAGTACGCCCAGCTTAGACCGAAGACCAGGCCTATATAAAGGGGTGCGAGGCTCACTCCAAAAAACTCACACCAGAGCCTCTATTTCTCTCTCTAACCCTCCCCCAACCCCTAGTATCTTCTTAGTTCTAGAAGAAGTCCCCGGAGCGCCCGAAGGCTCCAAGAAAAAGGGCTTTTCGGCTAGGGAAATTCTGCCTCCGCCCAACTAGGTTTTTAGCAAAACCCGTTGTAAGTAAGATACGCTTACCCTACTTTAAGTATAACTTATATTTAAATTTAGTATTGTTAATATGAACTTATAATAAATACTTGGGCTAGTATTATGACTTATATAAGTGTCGTTATAATATCGTTTTAACTACTCGCGGTACGGGGAATCCGGTTTGAAGAGTCGCCTTGGGTGTTGGATTTCAGAAGTGCTTTAATGCCAAAATGGCCCTGCCCTCCGGTGTTTCATGTCTGGCCCATATCTGTACATAGTGGTTGACAAGTATTGTTTAACGCTTATATAATAATAATAATAATAATAATAATAATAATAATAATAATAATTAGTCACGTGATTAAAATCTAATTGTAATAATACTAGGTTTCGTCGAAGGAAATTATATTGTTAAGAAGTGGAGCACTGTCCGAGTTTGGAGTCATCACTTTAACAAGTGATTGCATAGTTCATTTCATGAACATGATTTTTAATACAAGTATTAAATTATATGTTTATGTGTGAATATTTGATATTACCTGAAATACGTGTTAAAGAGCATACCTAATAATATATAATGATTTAGGATACAGAGTAAACCTAAATTAATTAAAAGGAATATTGGGTAATATCTCCTTGTGAGTACGAGTGAGATATACACAAAGGGAATAACTTTAAAAACCTATCATTGATCTGAGAGTATGGATTAGACTTTGTTAGTTATCCTTAGTCCAAGAGTATGTATAGGACATAGTTATTTGTCATTAATCCGGGAGTATGGATTAAGACATAGTCAATTGTCCCTAGTTCGAGAGTATGGAATGGGTACAATTATTGATCCGAGAGAATGGATTAGACATACTTGATTCGGGA